TTGAAGGCTGTGCTGCCGTTCAGCAGGACCTTGATAGGCTGACGAGTTGTGTGGAGAGAAACCTAATGAGGTTCAGCGAGGACAACTGTGGGGTCCTGGACTCAAGGAGGAAAAACCCCCAGTACCAGTACCGGCTGGGGGCTGGCCTACTGGAGAGGAGCTCTGCTGAGAAGGACCTGGGTGTCTTGGTCAATGACAAGTTGTCCATGAGCCAGGAGTGTGCCCTTGAGGCCAGGAGGGCCAAAGGTATCCTGGGGTGCATTGGGAAGAGGGTGGCCTGCAGGTAGAAGGAGGTGATTCTGTGCAGCAGTATGGAAAGGGAACAGACCATCACTTTCTATTTCCAATTACAGACCCTTAATGGTTAGACTCTGTTTCTTCTAAATAAAAGTGGTTTTCCTCATTTTGTCCAGCTTCTGAAAATTAGGGACTAGAATAGAATTCTACTGATTTTACACAGCATTTAATCAATAATGAAAATGTTTTTTAAATTATAAATGCTATATTTTCACTATTTGTACCTGGGTCAGCCTGATGTCACTACATTTTATCTCTAGAGTAGGCTGGAATTTGTTATGCTGCAGCACCTGCAAACTCATTTGTGTTTGCTATTCATTGTCATCTAGAGACAGGACCTGGAGCACATAGCCAACTGGATAACCTTATTTTTAGTGCAAGACCTTACTTTTAGTGCAAGCACACCAACAGTCCTTGCTGGAAGGTTCCCCCACTAGGTTGAGAGCTGAAGCTCTCAGCACAATTCAGAGACAGAAGAAATCTATACAAGCAATTCGCTCATGCCTCTGGGACTGTAACACCACAACTGTAGTAAGCATATAGTACTCTGATTTCATTAAATTCTATAGGAAATCTCACTGAAGATAACTGGAGATCTTCCCCTGAGAAAATGAACAACAACAACAACAAAGTGATAGCAGTAATACAATAACAGAGGGAAAAACAGAATGAACACAAAAAGCAGCATAATACCAGGACCTTTTTTTTCCTCTATCCCACTGTAAGACTAGTGGAATGCACTTTTAGGTTCATTAAGCTGTCCAGTTAATGGTTATTCAGTGTAATAGTAACAAGTAACAAGGAAAGTGATAAAGCAATAAAACAAACAGACACAAATATATCAATGAGCAGGTAATAAGGTAGACAAAGACCAGAACTCTTCAACCATTGATTGATGGGCTGTCAAAATGAAGTATTCAGGAACAGGCTGGGGCATGGGGGTGTGGGAGGGAGTGGGAGAAGGGAACAAAGATGAAAGCAAGACTTTCATGGGTATGATGGGATATTTGAGAGTCTTTGTGAGAGTATACCAACAAACATGGAATAATGGAAACTTATGGGCCCTGTAACCCACAGTCCCTGCTCCAGTTGCTGTATCAAGCTTCATACCTCTCCCAATTCTGGAGTTTTACAGTTAAAAAAAAAAAAAAAAAAAAAAAAAAAAAAAAAAAAAAAAAAAAAAAAAAAAAAAAAAAAAAAAAAAAAAAAAAAAAAAAAAAAAAAAAAAAAAAAAAAAAAAAAAAAAAAAAAAAAAAAAAAAAAAAAAAAAAAAAAAAAAAAAAAAAAAAAAAAAAAAAACAAAACAAACCAAGAAAGTTTCCACAATCAAAGTAAAAAGCAGTGTTGCTACAACACAGAAATTTGTATGATCAAACTATATAGAGAGAAGACAAGTAAGAGAGTATGAGAAATAATCACAAAATTCTAATGCATGTCACTAAAGTCCTTAAAACTTAACTCACACATTTTCATTCTCCTACCTAGAGAATGTCTAGTATTACATCATGTCAGGCAAGTGCTAGGCAGTATTCAAAAAGGTCCACTTCAAAAATCTCTTGAAAATTTAGGTTAGATAACACTTTGAGAAAACAAACCTAAAACACAAGGATGAAATTTGAGCCTTTACTTTTCATCTGGTCACCTGGACTGTTGCATAGAAGACCACCACATTTTGGAATAGAATAGAGAGGAAGAACACTGCAAAAATACCTAAGCTTCCATTCAAAGCTTCAGAGAAGAAAACACAAAACTGATTAAGAGAAGTAATGGGAATTTTATGGCTGCTGCACACGTAAATGGAATGGCAGCAATAAATTTACCACGCTCCCAGAGTACAGCACACACTAAATTAATTGTAACTAACTCAGTCTGCAATATTATCTTTTTTTTTTTATTGGAAGGTGATTATTAATTCAGAAAAAAATATCTGCTTCCCCTATCATATTTTTCCTCTTGTTCCTCCAGTTCACTTAGCCCTACACACACAGCTTCAGAAGTAGAATGAGTTTGTTTAGAAGCGACCTCCAGAGATCACCTAGCCTAACTCCTGCTTGCAGGAGGGCTGATTGGGTCAGGCTGAGGAGAGATTTGTTCACTGAAGTCCTGAACACCTCAGGGGCTGGGAGTACCACGAGGGCTCTGGGCAACTCTGGTGGGTCGACCCTAGCCAGTCACATGGTAGTCACCAAAGCTGCTCTATTACTCCCCTCCTCAGCTGGACAGGGGAAAAAATATAAGAAAAGGGTTGTGAGTCATGATAAGAGCAGGGAGAGATCACTCACCAATTACTGTCATGGGCAAAAGAGACTTGGGAAAATTACCTTATCATTAATCAAAACAGAGTAGGGTAGTGAGAAATAAAACCAAACCTTAAAGACACCTTTACCCCCTCCCCACCCTTCTTCCCCGGCTTTAATCCCAAATTCCCTTCTTCTTGCCCCTAGTGGCACAGTGGTGCAGGGGGACAGGGAATGGGGGTTACAGTCTGTTCATAAATCAGTGTGTCTGTTGCTCCTTCCTCCTCAGGGGGAGGACTCTTCACACTGCTCCAGCATGGGGTCCTTCACACAGGAGACAGTCCTCCATGAACTTCTTCAATATGAGTCCTTTCAGTTGGGCTGCAATTCCTCACAAGTTGCCTCAGCCTGGATCCCTTCCACAGGATGCAGTCCTTCAGGAACAGGCTGCTCCAGCATGGGTCCCCCACAGGGTCACAAGTCCTATCAGTAAATGTGCTCCAGAGTGGGGTCCTCTCTCCTCAGGGTCACAGGTCCTGCCAGGAGCTTGCTCCAGCATGGGCTTCCCACAGGGTCACAGCCTGCTTTGGGCATCCACCTGCTCTGGCGTGGGGTCCTCCATGGGCTGCAGGTGGATCTCCGCTCCACCATGAACCCCCATGGGCTGCAGGAGGACAGCCTGCCTCACCACAGGCTGCAGGGGTACCTCTGTTTTGGCACCTGTAGCATCTCCTTCCCCTCCTTCTTTGCTGTCTGCTGTCTGCAGAGTTGTTTCTCTCACATATTTTCACTCTCCTCTCCCGCAGCCATTGCACAGTAACTTTTTCCCTTTCCTCAGAGGCATTGCTGCCATCTGTGATTGGTTTGGCCTTGGCCAGCAGCAGCTCTGTCCTGGGGCTGGCTGGCATCAGCTCTTTTAGACATCAGGGAAGCTTCTGGCAGCTTCTCACAAAAGCCATGCTTGTAGGGCCCCCCCTGCCCGGTGCCCAAACCTGCACCACTGACCCCTGCCTTAGTTCCACAGTTGGGCAAACCAGAGCCATCTCCTGTGCTGGAGCCATCTCCTGTGCCAAGTCTTCATATCACCTCAGAGCCCCTCATGCTGCTTCCCAGGCTTGGCCTGTCCCACCCGTGTGAACAGTCACTGCCACACGTGGTGGGCTCAAGCCACTCCCCATATGTCGAGGTTCCCCTCCTCTCACACCACCTTGGTCCAGGTGCCCTGGCTCCTGCAAGATGCTCCACTTCAAGGAGTGACATTCACAGACAGGTTCATTGAACACTGTTCCATTGACCACAATGTAGGTTAAGCTTAGGCCTGATCCAAGTGCAGGGAAGCGCCCTGCGCCAAGATGATGCTCCCACACCGCAAGTGCTGCTTGGCTTTCCCAAAGTCAGTGTGAACTGTTCCGTACTGTAGATAGAAAAAACTGACTGGTACTTCAGTATTCTCCTAATTAGAATCAGACCTATCCATTAGCTCTATCCAAGGCACTTACATGCTGCTGAGGCAACTCCTGGCTGAAGTAGTGCCGGCATTTCCCTGCCTGCAGACCCTGTCCTGGCAGGCAGAAAATCCCTCAGCCAGCTCTGGGTGGGGAGAGAAGTCTCACAGCTTCTGCTTTTATCTCCCATGGGAGAAATACAGCCACTGGTGGCTGCTCTCGCCCTACAGAGATCCCAAATGTAGCACTGTGAGGATGAGATGACTTATCAGTATTCGGGCAGTGGGACAAATGGAGTTCATAACCCAGCACAGCATTGTCTACCATCACAGTCCTTTGAGGTGGTAATATTTACTACCCAGACATGTTTCAGTCCATTAAAGGTCGCGTTGCTAGTTGCCCTTCCTTGTTTCCTTTTGTATTACCTACAGAAAGATGCAATTCTTATGAGAAACAAAGAATCGTGTCCCACACTGCTCAGCCCCTTCCCAGAACTGATGCCTTTCTGAAGATAAAGCTGAACTAACTACACTCTTAACGTTTCACATACTGCTCCTGTGCCGGTCTAGACAAATACTCAATTCACAGCTGCTCCCTGTACTCCCAACCAGGGAGGTGTGTCCCATTCTCGGCAATCCCGCTATTTCCCAGCCTGGCCTGCAGGCGGCGCCGCCACGCTCCTCCTGCAGCGGTCCGGCGCGGGGGGTCCTGGGTGATGTAGTCCCCGCCCCGCCGCGGGGCCTTGCGGCCGCAAGTCCGCCGGCGCAAGGCACTGTGGGTGCTGTAGGAGCGGCGCTCGAGCCAATGGCAGGCGCCGTTTCGGAAGCCGGCGCTCGCGCAGCCGGCACGCGCTGAGACACGGGTGGTGCCATTGGCTGGTGGGAGGGCGTGGCCGGCCACGGACGGGCCCGCCGGGCCAATGGGAGAGGGCCATGTAGACCCAGGCGCTCCCCGTGCTCGGCGGCGGGCGCGGCAGGCGATTGGCGGGGGCGGTGCGGTGGGCGGTGCCAGGCGCGGGCCGGGGGCGCTGGGGCGGCCCCGCAGAGGCGGCGGGCGGGATGGGGCAGCGGGCGCTGCGCCGGGTCCTGGCTCTGGGGCTGGGGCTGAGCCTGGGGCTGGCGCTGCTCTGCGCCGCAGCGCTGCCCGCGGCCGGTGAGTACGGGGGCACCGCGCCCCGCCGGGCCCCAGCGCGGCGGCGGCCTCGCCCCCCAGCGTGTGCGGCGCGGGAGGGGGTGGCGGGCACTGCCACGGTGTCTGTGGGGGGGGTCGCGGCGCCCGCAGCGGTGCGCGGGGGCGGCAGCGACGGGGAAGGGACCCGGAGCTCTCGGCGGGGCTTTGAGGAGCGTGGGGGCAGCGCCGACCCCTCGGGAGGGCCGGAGGGGCAGGAGCGGGGCTCCCTTGCGGGGGCGGCGGGGACGCAGCTCCCCCCGATCCGGCGCTTCGCCCCCCCACGGGCGCTCCTTGGGCCTGGCGTAGGTAGCCACGTCTCTCAGTGCGGTGTCCGCCTTTGAGCAGCTCGTTGGGAGCCCACTTTGTGATGCCAGCGCTGCTCGAAACCCGAGTGAGGCATTTTGTCCTCCCCAGCACGCATTTTCTCGCCGAGACGCTGATAGTGCTGATTTCAGCATTGTCACAGCAATTTTCTCACGCCGGTATATAGAGAGCGTTTCCAGGTCCTGCGTTGTGTGTGTCTCCCGTCATACTTTTTTCGTGCTTATTTTGTTGTTATGCAGCTCAGGTTTCGTGTGCTTCTCATGTGTTGTCATCTACTTCCTTTCGTAGGGTTTCTACCTCCCACAGCCTTATTTCCACCATGGGCTGGTGAGGGGGAAGTGCAATGCTTTTATTTATGTAGTGCTTCTGAAGCCAGAAGCCAGTACTTTAACAGACAGCCTTATCCAGTGCTACTGGGGATGTGCTTTTACGCTATTTCAGGAAATTAAGTTCAGTGGTCTGGGGCTCATTTTCCTGTATGCTGGTGGAAGTTGAAATTTGAAGTGCTATTACCAGAGTTCAGATTATAGGAGCTTTGTACGTCACTCTATAAGCCAGCAGGGCGCTTCCCAAGTTCTAGAAAAGAAACACATGAGTTCTGGGAAGCCGGGGACGTGGAGCCACTTTGAATTGTGTGCTCTCATTTATAATGTATATAAAGAAAAAAAGCTAAGGCAAGATGAGACTGTGAATGTCAGATGAGCCATCCGTTGTGTACATGAAAATTAGATGACAAAATTAAGGGCTGATCAAGTGTGCATCAGTGGCTGTACTAACATGCAGCTCTGCTGTTTTTACTATTTGTCCACTGTCACAAAGATATGCTTGTGAGTATGAAGTTCTGGTAGTTGAATTCAGCCTTTATGATCCATATGTTTAGAGTCAATTGAACTAATACAATTAGTAAGCCAAAGAAAGCACAAGCTACAGTACACGAATGAAGACTTAGGAGCTGTTGACAAACTTAAAAAGCTACTGTGAGGTAAAACTGTTCATTAATATCCAGAATTAATCAGGAGAGGGTGTTCAGAGTCCATCTTCTGTCAGCAGACTATAAGAGGAATATCTTTCTTGCTCCAATTTTTGGTGAGAATCATTCTGAAAGAAAATTGTCATTACTTCATGTTTTGATTTCCAACAGTAGCAGTACCACTTTGTGGTATATGCCTTAAAACTGTGTGTTAAATGCTTCCTTGAATACCTGTTTGTTCTTAATGTCTGGTCTGGAAAGAGTCATCTGGGATATGAGGGGAGGGGTTTTAAGAAGGATGAGTAAAAAGAGTTCAAGTATTACATTTTCTGACTTTGGGAGAAGATTCTAATGGTGATTTTAAAATTTTTTTTTAGTAGGAAGTATTTTAACTACAGCTTTAAATCTTAACTCTGTAGTCATAAATTTTGTTTAAATCGATTTATTGAAAACTGCAAGTGAATGCAAGAAAATTCTGGCCTAAAGAAATGGGCACTACTCTTTTAAACGTATGATAGTAATACAAATTATGAAGGAATTTAAAACTGAGACTAGAATATTTAAAAGTCCATGGGGAATGGGCAAAAGCAGCTAAAAATGCTAAGCATTTGTGTGTTTTCTAGATGAAGCTGACTTTCTTATTGCTGCTTATTGCAGCAACAACGGCTTCCTTCTGTTGGTCATTCATTACGAACGTTGACAAAATTGCCTTTTTTTTTTCTGATTGCCAATGTTTTTAGATTCTTGGGCTTGTTTCCTCTTGTTCACAGACTAAGAGGCAGACATATTCTCATTCTGCCTGAAGAGAGGAAGTGATTCTTCCTCTGACTCCTCTACACCTTCCATGGCTAACTTCAGCCATAGGCAGGCATTTTCATACTGTCCTATTAACTGGTAGGACAAATGAGCAGTCATATACCTGTAGGGAACTTCTGTACTTCTTCTTTTTTAAGACAGAGCTCAATTGCTTTCCCTGGCCTGTCTGATTTTGCTAACTGAAAAACATTCCCTATACTTGTTGCATTGTTGCCTGACAGGGAATGTCAGTTCTTACAGAGAAACTGCTGGAGAGTAAGTTCTGTAACTAGTCAGCCAGCAATTGCAAGGAGACTGTAAAAAAAAGATTTTTATTCAGAGTGAGGGTTGACCTATATCTCAATCTTCTAGTTGGACTAAAATGAATACGCTGCACAGATTGTAGCTGGGAACAATTTACTTGCTGCCAAGGATACCTTAGAACTATTCTTGCTGAATAGATGCTACTTATGGATTTTTCTTGAGTCACTGCGTGTTTTAGAGGTTCATATAATGGGAGTAGCATCTATGCTATCAAGTCTGTTTCTTTGCTGAATATAACAGTTGAAAAATTGATGAGAAGCAGTCTGAGGTAATTTTTTTTTTAAGATTTCCTTTTTTCCTGCAAGAATTGGAAAAACAGAGTTTGCATTCCCTTTCAAAGTCTGTCTAGTCACTGGCACAAAAGAATTGAAAGAAATTACTAAAATACCACAGAAAATCTCTGTACTGTAAAACACTTTTTGCCAAACTGTGTCTGCTCATGCACCCCTCTCTATAGAAAGACTTTTGAGCATGCTTCTTACATGTATTTTTAATAAGTTAGACATTGATGTACTGTTATCGTATTATGTACATCATAAAATGTACAAAAACACGGGTGAGAAAAGAATTAAATAAAGGTGGAATGAACACTGTATTAAGAAAAGGTAACAGTACAAAAAGTATTTTCCTCCTGTAGCCCCACTGTGTTGGCTCACACCCCCTGAGGGGTACACACTCCAGGTAGGAGATCACTGCTTTAGGCAGACCCTTACTAGTTGCTTTGTTGTGATAGTGTTTGAGGCTTGAAGAGCTTGGCAAAAACTAGAAGGAAACTGACTGCAGTGATTGGTTAGGGCATTCATCAGAGCTCTGGGGTGTTGCCAACTGCTTGCACTCACTGAATTTTTGGCTGTTTCCTGAAGGTGAGTGACCACTGTAACATTGAAAGTAGTAGTGTTTCTTGTCTGGTAGTGGCAGTCTCTTAGCTTTATCTGATGGCAGTTGATTTGTTCTTCTAACACAGCAAAAGTTTGGAAATGTTAAACTCACTTGAGCTAAGGACGTTCTTGCTGAATCACTTCTTGCTTCTACCCTTCTCTCTTTAGTTCTTTCTTGAAAATGGTAATTCTCACAAAATTCTCACAAAATGGTAGGATCTTTCAGCAACATATGGTAGAATATTTTTCTCTCACATAGGCTGCCAAAGTACTTTTGCTATATTTACATAGACTGGTTGAATGCTAGTCTTTCTAATTGAGGAAAAATGAATACCTTTTAAAGCAGATTTTAATTATATGTGAAGTGGTGGATAGTTGAAACAAGATTTTTAACTCTAGAGCATGAGAGCACCCAGCAGTAGCTACACAGCTCAGCACTGTTTGTAAGTGAAGCTTTCTGTACAATGTTGTCAGCTGCCCACTTCAGCCACAAGTATTTTTGCCTACTTTTTCCTTTTAATATGTCATTGCATATCCCTAATATGTTTAACAAATGCGAATATTAATTTCCACTTGGCCTTTTCAGAAGAGGTTTATAGAATTGGGCAGCTGTGGTACCAGACCCAAATTAAAAAAAAAAAAAAAAAAAAAAAAAAAGTCAGTTACTTTTTTTTAATTGAAGTGTGGAAAAACAAACTAAACTATCAGCTTTAATCTCTGAAGCAGGTGCACAAACATAACATCTGTGACTTTGTTCACTAGCTGAGCCTTGACTAATAAACTGTTCTTAGTTCCAGCAGTGACCTTTCGTAGACATTTTATTATTAACACTTTCAGAATAGTTTTTTTAACAGTTTCGTAGAGGTAAACGCACTTCTGTGAGTAGCTGGTGCATATTAGTCAGCAGTTCTGTGAAACAACAAGGCTGCAAGTGATCCCTCCTCTAGTCACATTATCTGTCATCACTGCAACCTCATCTGCCTTCCCCAGAAGGAAGTCTCAGAGCTAAGAAAAGTTAGATTAATATTTCTTGATTTGCTTTTGCGCTGTTATGAAATCACTGTTAGAAAACAATTGTTCAAGTACAACCTCTTAATAAGGAAGCTGGTTCCTTCAGAGGGATTTTAAATGATGCAATACAAAGGAAATAGATTTATTTGCTTTCAAGGAAGAAGACCAAACACTTAATGAACTCTGCCTTGCTCAGGTGTCTCTTGCCTTGCATATGAAGTTACAATAAAAATGTTGTTTGAAATGTTTGCATAGAAAGTATAACCTATTTATATTTGACACTGTGTGGTTTTTTGTTGTAAAGTCAGCCTTCCACAAATTGAAATTGGTTAGTCAAGCCATTGCCAAAACACTAGAAAGCCCTCGTGCTGCCAGGCATATATGCTGGTTTTGAGCAGACAAAAACAATCCCCCTGACTAGTGTAGTGGTTAAAAAGAAAACAAGCATGATGTCTCTTACTGCAATAACAGTTACTCCATAAGTTCTTTATATATGTTAAAAGGAGTATACAAGCTACGGGGGGAGTTACCCTGTCTTAGTTTCCCCCTTATCCAGAAGCATGTCTGAATGTCTCGACAAGCTCTGGAGTTTAAAGGTGGCATTTGGTCTTAGATCAAAATTATTTAGGATAATAGAAAGTAGTTTGTAGGAAATACGGTAAATTCAAATTTGTTTTATAGTTTTGAAATAGAAATACCAGCAAATATCCTAAATGTATATGCACTTCTACTGTATTTAAATACCAGTTGTTATATGGTGATCTGAAATGTTGAAGTTCAGTGGTAGAACTTCTTATGACTTACCAGAATCACCCTTATTTGTTAAATTCCTCAAGATGATAAAGCAATGCAGTCTCTGCCAAAAATGCAGCTAGCCTTGTTTTTATCTTATGCCTCATGATGTTTTTTTTCAAATTGATGTTTGTTCTCATGCTGTCTTGGTTGTTCTTTGCCATCTCCACAAGTTCTTCTGAAGTCCTCTACACACTTTGGTTTTTTGACATGTAGAGTACAGCTGCTTATCCATAACAACTGTTCTAGATCCTTTTTATTTACATGTCTGTTGCCAGACATGTAACTATTTGAGCTTTACATCCTCTTCACCATCCTAACGGGCTGTCATTTGTTTCAGTTGCACTCTCAAACTTCTTGTCACCGTAGTTTCGCAGCTTCGCTTTTAAGCCTTAGCATTTTTTTTTGTTATGCTGGTACAGCTTACAGTTGATTCTCCCTCATCTTTTTACTAGTTTCAATCAAAGGTTATACTTCAAATAACAATACAGAAGCTAGGCTCTAGAAAGCAGTTTCCAAGTTTAATCTTTTCACTGCAAATGCCCACAGTTGCTCTGTTATACTCGTAGACTTCAAAACATATATCGGTCAAGTGTCATGTTTGTAATTTGTTGCTTCAGAGATGATTTCTCTCTGGTAAGACACTCGACTTGCATGAGAACAAAAAGTATGCAAGTTTTGTTTGTCAGATGCTTCCAGGAAGTCAGCAGATTTCTATAAACTTTGAAGAATTTTGTTGGCATTCAGTATTTGTGCAGATCCCTTTCATAGCCAACCGAAACACATCCAATGCTGTGACTCATGTACAGGGCACTGACTTTTTTTCTGGTCATAGTGCAGGTCTCCAGCCTGTCAATGGCCTACCACTGCTACAGGGCACTGGACTCCCCAGAACCACAGAAGGGGGATTTCTAAATGTAGGAGGAGTTAGCAGCAGCTTTGCTTAGTGAACTGTTTATATTTTAAGCTGTTATTTTGGTTGAAGGGAGTTGTGTACCAGAGAGAGGGAGGTCTATAGCATCTTCGTTCAAATGTAGTGGGGTTTTGTTTACCTAAATGAGATGGTGTTAGATACTGATGACTGGGAACAATCATATTTCGGTGGTGTTACTTTTGGAGGCTTTCTGTCAAAATGACAGCACAGTTGTTTGAAGCACAGTGCATAGCCCATTTAAGTTACAGGAACAAAAAAATTGTTGCAGAAATAATTCTGCAAAGCAATGGTAAAACTGTAATAAATAAGCTTTTCTGATTATCGTTTCTTTTTCACCTGTCTTAAACTACTTTCTCACTGTTCTAAAGAGACACCTCTCTATAAAGGTTTTAATATGCTGGTCGAGAAAAATGAATTTGCATTCTACAAAGGACAATGTTAATTATGAGTGTGAGGATCTTAGTGTAACTTTCTGGTCTCTACTGGCCTTTTTCAATTGATGCACCTTTTTAAGTAGCTTAGTTGAACTGGAACAATTCGCACTGTGATTTGAGTTAAAAAAAAACCCACACACTTTTTTCTCTATTGAAAACACAGTTGTGTTGACATAATTTAAGGAAGAGGATCTTCTGTGAAATATTTGATTCCTCCTGAGAACACTAATAAGGTCTTCCTGAAGTGCATTGGTCAACTTAGTTCTCTAGAATATATCAGAACCATGGTCCAATATTATAACTAAACTTATTTTTATTTTGGGGATAATTACTCATGGAAAAGCATTTTACTGACTTACAACGTCTCTTCTAGATGAAGAGGGAAATCAAGATGAATCACTGGATTCAAAGGTGAGGAGATATTCATCTCTAGTCATTCTGTTTCTCTTCTGGAGTGAGAGCAAAGGTCTGAAATTCAGAACTGTGATTTGATTTCTATTTTGAAATGTTCTGTAGCTCTTGCTTTCTCAATTTCTGTGCATCAAAAGGATTAATGTGTTGCAAATTGGAAAAAAATTAACTTTTTTTTTAAGAATTGAAAGGGGTAGATCCAATGAGAGGTAGAGGTAGCTCAACACTTTTGATGCTACTGTTGAAGCTTAATATGTTATTTAATCATATCTTTAAAAAGTAATGGGTTTTTAGCCCACTGCTGCTCCTCAGTTTCTCATCTATATGGCTGCTTTCCTTCAGACTTTATCTGCAGAGGACCAGGTAAAGGACCATTCCACAGGAACTCGAGTAGTAGCGGGTCAGATCTTCCTTGAGTCGGGGAAATCAGACTCTCAATCAGAGGATGAAGAGAACTTCCACAGTCAAGAAGAGGAAAAAGAGAATTCACTGGAAGAGTTGAACTCTCTAGAAGTGTCAAATCTATTAAATAAGGATTTGGAAGAAGCAGAAATGCAGAGTCCAGGTAACTGCTCACACACTTTTGAACAAGGGACAAGAAAGATGAATCTGAACAATTTCAGCATGTGGATGAACAAAACAGTAATACGAAATATCTTGTATTTTAAGCTTTCTGTCATCATGGCTAGGCTTCGCGAACGAAGATTTGAGAACCTTTCCGTAATGGAATGTTAAATGCTGCCTTTTCCATTAGAAAGTAACATCAAAAAGTTTTGAAAATTTATTGAGATTGAAATCTGAGTGGTTATTTTGAGGTGCATTTGAAAGAGTTTTCCATTATTGTTTCTGTCTTGTTGGAAAGCTTTAACCATTAAATGGAAAAGGCCCTGATTGCCTCAGTCGGACTCAAGTACAATCCTGTATGCCATAGAAAGAGAAATTGCATCAGTGTTTTTCAACCCCCTGGCCATTTGCCCAGCAAGTCAGTTGACAGAAAGGGAACAAATAGTGATGTAAAGACAAGTTTCCTAGAACAGCATTGAGTGCCTTAGGGCAACATCTAAATTCCATGTAAACTCCAGTAAGTTTTTAAATATAGGTAAAAGCTTATGTCCTTGTGCCTGAATTCCCAGGAAATTCTAGTGTTGCTTTTTTACTACATAATTTTGTAGTTACTAGCAGATAACTAGATGGCATGGTTGAGTACCTTAGCCTATGCAGCAGACTTTTCATTTGTCCTTAAAAAGTAAATCTTCAATATTACTGTTAAAAATATAGTTACCTGGTACTAAGGTATTTGTCTTCTCAGCTCTTTCAAATGTCAAAAGCAAGCAAGAGTAGTGAAATGAGCTCTGTAATGTAAGTCTGTTTTCTAATAAACCTTCCTTATTAGTGCAGAACTGGTATACAGTTTGTGAAAAGTCAGTAATAGGTTTAATTATTGCTGTTGATAGGTGCTGTGTTGTACAGGGAAAAGGTATATAATCCACTAAATATCTTTCTGCCACAAAAGAGTGAGCTAAGCACCATATTTAGTCAGTGAAGTCTATTTCAAAAGTAAACATTAAGGTAGTTTTGATCTCATGTCAGAAAAATGTAGCCTCCCTGGCAACTAAGGTTTTAACTACACCTATGAAAGTACTGCAAGTGACTTTCAAAAACCAAAAATTGAAGTCTTGCACAGTTTTTGGAACATCTAATGAAATAAATAAGCAATGTGAATGGAAGGATTACTGGGTTTATATAAAAAGCAATTCTGAAAGAAAAGTACTTGTATTCTGTCAGGAGAATAAAGTGTCCTTGAACAGTCTTCTGGCAAACCCTTTGAGCATATCTCAGGTACAGATGTTGCATCTCCCACGTGAGCTGCTGGTGACAGGACTGCATTAAGGGACATTAAAGCTTTTCTGAATACAGTTTAGCTACCATGTATGGTCATGAGATTGCATGGGAAAAAAATATATTCTGCAAGTTTCCACATATATTTTGCAGGATATTGAGCATTTTTTAAAAAATTCTTAATTTAGAATTAGTGCTACTAAAGCTTTTAACCTTCTAAAAAAGAAGTTGTCCTGCTCTCCTCTGATGAGTGAGGAGGTTTTATATGCAAAGAAAATGATCTTTTATTAGTCCTTGTTGTTTTGTGTTGTAGTGTTTTGTAACACCAAAGTTCCATACTAACAGTGTGGAACTAACTGTTCCATACTAAATAACTGTTAGTATGAAACTTTGGTATTACAAAAAAAAAAAAAACACAGTTTTTTTCTGAAAACTGCCCACAAGTTTATACACAGTTGGCAATTACTGTTGCATTTATTTTCCTATTTAGAAGAATCTTACAGTAACGTAACCAATAGTTATAAGTAATCCATGAGTAATTCCTGTAGCATGAAGTATGAAATGAGATATAAGGACAAAATAAAATTAAATACCACGTACTTTATTCAGACATAGTAAAAGACTTAGATTGCTACTTGCACACTCAGTTTCACAAAAGCTAATTTATCCTCTGAGTAAATTGTTTGCTTCACTTTGTATTTATCATTCTCTAAGTACGTAGTAAAATAACTGGTGTGAAGTTTAACCTGTGATTTCATTGCTGTGTTATTTTAGGGATAACTATTTGTTACTATCTGGGAGTGAAAACAGGAGAATTGGGGCAGAGTAATTTCATAACCTTAACATGCAGCTAACTCATGCAGAGCACTGTGTAAAATTGCTTTCAATACAGGAGACAAGATACTAAACAATGCGAGTAAAACTTTGAGTTCTCAAGTAGTGTTTATATCCTGGAGTTTGTTCAAATGACAATGATAAGAGGTCCCAGCAGTTGTAGATATATGTACACTTGGCATGAGTTTGTACATTACTCTGTAGTTAACAGATGTGTGAAATTATTCCAGATTAATTGCATGTAAACACATTATTTTTTAATCAATTACCAAAAATAACACTTCTCCTTGTGATGTAATTAACTTGGAGTGGTGTGGTGGAACCTCTGCCAAAGAATTTAGTTATGAAGAGCCATTTGAAAAGGCTAACTATACCTGAAGACTTCCTTTTGCTTCAGAAAATAAATGTGAAATATTAAAGTTAGTATGGTCTTTAAGCCTTTCAATTGTAGACCCTAGAAAAAAGAAGTAGCTTTCTCTATAACTGCAAAAATTGCAAACATACCTGAAAAAAAAGGTATAATTGACATTGTCAATTTCAGGACTTTGCAAACATCTTCAAATGAAGCTGAGCCCAAGTGTTGTTTTTAGGTTAGTAAAAAAGGAAGACTTTTTTAAAAGTCTAATTGAAATAATTCCATCTTCAGAAAACAGAGATAATTCTTAGTCTCCATAGAAGATTGATGTTATTTTAAAATACTGCTATATTACAGTCAGTAACCTTTGAAGTGTTAGTGTGTGAGAAATGATAAATCATGTTGTTCAAAGTCATGTTGAATACAACTAAATATATTGGTGAAATGAAATCGTGTTTTCAGTGTAAGTACATCCAAGAGTAGAAAATTACTGGACCTGGAGTGATTAGAATAACTATCCATCCACCCTGTAGTGATTTCACTTAAGTCTTTTCATCCCTACTGATATTCAAGTACCTTCAGTGTAACATTTAGTGATGTGTGTTGTTCTGTCATGATTGTATCTAACCCTAGGGCTAAAATTAATATATGCTCTGGAATGTACTTTAGGGTGCATTGCAAGGTCTTTCACAGAAAAGAGGAAATGCAAAGAAAGGCTCTTTATTTTGATAGGCAATAAAAATGTAACATAGACTTGCCTTCTCTAATTTATACTATATTTTCTTTGCTTAGAACTAAGGAATATGAGAAACCACATACCTTCTGCTTTATTTCATAATTAAAACTAAGAATTGTATTTTCCAAGTTGCTTTTTCAGGCTTTTGTAAATTAGAAATTTTACAGAAAACTTGACTAATTGTAGTTCATAGGAGTTAAAACCAACATAGGAGCACTTTACTATATGTAGTAGAATAATTTGGGAATAAAGGAGAGCAGTCTAATTCCTGGGTATGCATTTTCAGTGTTGACAGCTATTGGGGGCACTGCAGATGGTGAACCTTGCCACTTCCCCTTTTTGTTTATGGAGAAGGAATATGCAGAGTGCACTGCAGATGGGAGGGAAGATGGCAGGCTTTGGTGTGCAACAACCTATGATTACAAGAAAGATCAAAAGTGGGGCTTCTGTGAATGTAAGTAACCTGATGTCTTGTTTTTGTCCAATTAATGCTTTTTTAAGCTAGTGTTTTCAGTCCTCTTAATGCCCTTTATTTCTGGATCTAGAAGTCCCTGTCATATATTAAAGGTCACTTCATATTGTGATAAACAAGTAGTTACAAAGGCAAAGTTTTCACGATAGGAAAAGTTTTAATATAAATGCCACTTCCCAGAGCTAATAAGGAAATCTTCTTATGGAGGCATCTGTAAAACTCCTAGTTTTTGAGGCTGTAATATAGGGATTTGACAGTGTTTCACATTATACTGGCTGGCTTGTTGCACAAGGGGCCAGCCTTCTCTAGGAAATGTCCTGAAGGAGGAGCCTTTCTTCCTGCACAGTTTGCTTTCAAGCAATGAAAATAAAATTTCTTTCAGCAAACTCCTACATGAAAGACATCACACAAGAGGAAACTATCTACGAAGATATTCAACACCTCCTTTAGACAGCTTTTTGTATTCACTTAGGTTTACTGGTCTTCAGAAACATATTTCTGACTGTATTTTCCCTTTAGAGCTAATAGGAATTATGAGAGAACAGTGTTGAGCTGTATAATTGGATCTCTTAATGTCCTTTTTCTTTCTTTAAGCTGAAGAGCAGTCTAATAAGAGAAGGCAGATGCAAGAAGCTGAGGATGTTTATCAGATTGGAATGAAAATCCTTAATGAAAGCAGTAAAAAGGCTCAGAAGAAAGTGTAAGTCTACCTTATCCACTCTGACAGGAGAAGGACGACATGTCTGGTCACTCTTGCTTAAATCAAAAAGAACTTAAATGAGTTTTCCCAGGATTTTGAGTTTTATTGGATTTAAAAACAAACAATGCAGGGATAGTACTGAAAATAAATAGTAATTTCAGGGTATTTAGAAAAACAGATCTATGCCTGCATTCCTTTGAATGCAATAAAAATTGCTTGTGATGAATTTCTGACAAGTGGGTGTCATCAAAACATTGACCTAAGGCAAGATGTTCCTGCAGTTCTCTAGCCCCAATTTGTATGTAGTAACTACCTAGGAAAAAAGTAACATGATAGAAGATAATTGTCCTTTTTCTGGTGTTTCTTACAGTCCCATTCTCATTCTGCTTCAAAGGTTAAGTGGGAAAAACTGGCATTTCTTGTCCTGCTCTGGTTTTTTTTTCTCTTGCTTTCTGATGGTTTTGATTACCATAAAAATAGTATTAAACTTGTGTTGTATGAGAGAAGAGAGTAGTGCTTGTAGACAAAATCAAAGAATAAGAAAGAAATTAGTGTTCTGTTCATTCTGGTCCCTTTGCTTTCTGTTCTGTATATATCTAATTAGTGATTAAATAGTTGTCAGCTTTTCACTGTAATTAAGAATGGCTGTGTTAATTTAGAGCTCCCCGTTACTGATGTTGACAACTTCGTAAGTGGTGACTTCCTGCTGATTATTATGTAAGCGTTATTACTATTTTAATTTGTGGAGATAAGGTTGTTGGTAAAGACAAAGGGAGACAATATCTGTTGGATTCTGAGTAGCATTTTTTGGTATAAAATAGTCTAAGAATTGTAAAACAATGTTAGATATTAGTTCTCTTGCACATCTTAAACCTTCTTAGAAGGTGAAATTATTAGAGTAACCAGATTTGCCTCAGTATGTCCTAAAGAAAGAAAGCAAGTCTGAGAATAGAAAGGAGGAGAGGTAAAGAAAAATCTTGGAGCGCTATCAAAAGTTCCTGAGAGACCAAGCTGAATCATGCTTGACAGTACTGTTACCATGTTTAAGGTTACGGGGTTTTAATTGCTGTGAAACCAGCTGCTGTGAAATTGCTTTAAAGGACTGCCCTAAGTTCTGAGACTGAAATAGAAAGGGGAGTTTCCAGAGATCCTTCTCATTGTTAGCGTGACTGTTTCATCACAAAATTGGTCATGTGTGCAGTTTTCTTGGGCCCAGTGCTTGGTGTTTTCACTGGAATGGCATTGTACTCAAACAAATGAGACTCCATGGTTTTTCTCAGGCTGTCACAGGAGTGGGTCTATTAGATACCTTGTACAGGACTGAAAACTGCTACAAAATTGTGATCATTTGACCTTAAACTTCTTGTATATCTCACCAGGGAGGAAATACATAGTGCTTTGCTTTTGGAGTAGAGTGAACATTAAAATCGCTTGTCTATTTTTTAAACTATGAGTTGTTACATATATGGATGATTAGTAGCTGGAGCAAATGGCTGTAGGGAGATGCTTTTGTAGAAAATAGAGACTAAATCAGAGAAATAAAACACTTCTTCAGAATCTTCAGGTTTATGAACGGAATCTTCTTTGCCTCAAGTTGACTAAGAAATTGTTTTCTCTTAAGAGCATATCAGTATCTTCTGAAAGCAGCTGACATGAATCATACCAAGGCCATGGAGAAAGTGTCTTATGCTTTGTTGTTTGGGGATTACCTTAAGCAGAACATCCAGTCATCAAAAGAACTATTGGAAAAACTGACAGAAGAAGGTTCTCCTAAAGGCCAAATGGTATGTCTATCCTTAAACTCTACAAGTGTTTTTATAGATTTATAAATTGTTTTATAGATTTTACTTATTCTATAAGTAAATATGCTTTTATATGCTATTTTAATATACTTTTCTAGATGGCACCTGCACCCTCAAAGTAAACACTAATGCCTTAGAATTTTTAAGATGTTCACCTTTTTGTAGATTTGAATGTAGCTGTGGTTTTCTTTCACTTTAGACTGTTACTTTCTTACAGTTTGTATGTCGCATTCTCAAAGCTTCAGTTTAACCATCTTTTAACCACCTTTTCAAGGCGAGAGATTTTTAGCAGGAACATTGCATTGGGACGTGCACCTGGACTGGAATAACAAGAAATACGGTAGACAAAACAAGATAGAAGGCTCAAGACCCTTGGAGGGGCTCCAGTGGGGCAGTTTTGAGGGTGGTACCAGGGGCAAAAGGGGTCTCAGGATTGGATGTCCCCACTAGATATGATAATCAGTAAAAGATATAAAAGTAAGAATTCTGTATGTGCATGCGCATCTTTGTACTCCGTGAGCCAGAAAGTCTGCATTAAAAGAGCTGCTCTCTATCTTATCTATACTAATATTGCCTGGTGAGTTTTTTCTCCTGGTTTTTGGCCATCAGTTTGGCACCTGAAAGACTTTGAGTTAAAAAAGAATTATTTAATTACCAGTAATACAGTATGGTGGTGGTCTTTTAATTTCTTGTCTGTTGTATGACTGACTAGATTGGATGTATAAGTCAAAAAACAGGTCGATACAGGTGACTCCAACCAACAGACCTTTTCTGAAACTATTATTTTTTTCCTGCAATTTGTGTGGAATGTTGTGGCTTTGCATTTGCAATTTTGTCTTAGGAAAGTAGATATACACACAAGTTTGTAATCTAGCAATTATAAACTCCTAGGAGTCTTAAAAGTTGTTTAGTGAAATGAGACTTGCTTTGTCCACAAGCCTTTGAGCATTATAGCATTGTTCATACTTACTGTTATGAAGTGTCATAAAATATGGGTGCTATTAATTGCAGTGGCTCATTATCTGCATATACTTACTGTTTAGTTCTCTTGGAAGTGTCAGCTTAAGCAATTACCCATTTTTTTCTTAACTCTTTGCTACCAAGTCTCCTGCTGCTCTCTGTTTAATAGTGGAGTACTGGTTTACCATAGAGAGCAGGAACATGTTTTCTTTTGAGACTTTATATCTCAAGGAAGACCTTGGCTTTTATTGGTCTAGAATTCAATACCGTTTGCATGAGATGATTTGTGTATATGCTTTCAGATTGCCTAGAATAGTGTTAGAACATAGTGTATATATAAAGATGTCTATATTTTACAGTCTTCTGTGCTACTAGTTTCTCTTCCGAGCCACAGAGGTGTAACAGGTGTTATAGATCGTGCAGTAACTATGTAAATCTTAGGAACAAAAATAACTTCTGAAAAAACCTCAGCCAAACAGCTCTGTGCGTTCTAACCGCTTACATTTATAGTCACAATTGCAACTAACCCATGGCAGAACAGATGCAAAATAGTAAATTCATAGGATCTGTTGGACAGTGACTCAAACAATATGAGCCTTCCAGGGAAGGCCATAGTTCACATATGTTTGCACTGGTGTATGAGACAAACGGGGTACATGAATAACCTGACACCTTCTGCTGAGCTTCACTTGGGGGTCTTGAAACTGGGATACTTTGACTGTTAGGGACCTTTGGATCTACACTTGACATTCAGGGAAGTGGTTTGTTCCACTCAATGGAATTCTGGTGAAAAAGTTATTTATGCTAGAATCCTAAGCAACTGAATAATTTAGAAACTTCATACTTTAAAAGGGGCAGGGAAGAGCATAGATATAAGAGGTACCAAACTGAAGGTAGAGCTTGGCATGTTCTTTGCAACTTTGATTTGTTGTTTGACTTCTTTATATGTATGTATTCCAGGAAAATTGATCCTTGATTTTTCAAAGACTACTGACGAATTTTATCTTGTTTCTAGGCTCTTGGATTTCTGTATGCATCTGGTCTAGGAGTCAATTCTAGTCAAGCTAAGGTAATTTAGAAATTGTGTGTGTTCTTGTGTTTTGTATTAGAGGCAGATGTTAAATAACAAATTATTTTGTTTTAAGGCCCTGGTGTATTACACTTTCGGAGCTTTAGGAGGAAATCTGATCGCTCATATGATTTTGGTAAGTAAGATTGTTAATAACTTTACACATACGAGAATGTTTTTGTACCCTAAAATTTTTAATGTAAGATTTCATTTCACACGAATACACGTCCCAAATATTAGACTATTTTGCATGAAGTGGGTGGGCAGTAGTATCTTCCCATTATTCCTTTTTAATGTAAGGATAAGTCTACTCATTTTAAGCTGTATACCACTATGAATTTAGATGAACCATGTTTACGTCTCTTGACTTAAAGCAGAAGTATCAGACTTTTAACATTTGTAGTCTAATGAGAACTATGAAAGATCTTCACAGAAGGTGCTGTTTTAATCAGTATTGTGAGATTTAAGACAAATGTAGTGCAACATGTGTAAGTAAAAGGCTTTAGGTAAGTAAAGGTAAGTAAAAGGTTCACCCTTAAGTATCATTCTGCTTACTTGCTTTTTCTTGACTTATATCTCAAGTATATTGGCTACACTTAACCTTTAATGGTGTCAAGTCAGTTGCTTTTAATGCAAATAAAATGGACTTGTGGCCTTTGTCCTGCCTATTGTCTCGTCAAATCTTGCTCAAGTAATGTGAAAAAAATTTGTAACCTGACAAGCAGCATGTTCTCAAATAGCTGATAGTCCCATATTTATGTATTTTCTTTTCCAGGGTTACCGGTACTGGGCTGGGATAGGAGTCCTTCAGAGTTGTGAATCTGCTCTCACTCACTACCGACTTGTAGCTAATCACGGTAAAAACCTTTAACTAGGATAATGTTCTTGACTTTCTATGTATTTCTATGTTACTCAACCAGAAGATACTAGAAGTACTGTCAACATTAGTAGTATAAACATAGAGAATTCCTGCTTTTAAATAAGTTATCCATTTGGCTCTGAATCACAATATGCTATTTTTGTCTCTGTTGAAATGTCTTTAATTCTTAGAGGCTGTCAAAGTAATTCATTCTCTCTGAGTAACAACATGAAACTCTGTAGAGATCTGGTTTTACTAAGTTGTGGTGTCATTTCTGTATTGAACAACACTCATCTGTTTTCCAGTTGCTAGTGACATTTCTTTGACTGGTGGCACAGTGGTTCAGCGAATTCGCTTAGCAGATGAAGTAGAAAATCCAGGAATGGCAAGTGGCATGCTAGAAGAAGACTTGATCCAGTATTACCAGTTTTTAGCAGAGAAAGGAGATGTACAAGCTCAGGTAAGATTAGGTTCACCTGATGGTGTGCAGACATTTTCAAGAGTTACAGGAACAACAGTTATGAAATACAGAAAGACATTGGAGCTTTAGTGTTCTCTTCCCTGTAAATCAAGCTGTTTGTGCTTTTCCAATTAGCTTTTATCTAAAGAGACTTATATTTTAGTGTCTCTAAGGTAGAACATGGACAGAAAATGCAAATTTTCTTGCAAAGAAAAGTCCAAAACGTTACAACTTTAGTATCTTAGGAAAGAGGTCTTGGCTTTCTCTAGCAACCAGCCAGACTTTTCCAAGGGTAGCTTTAGATGCTGTGGAAGAAGGATTTGTCAAAAAACTAGCCCTGATTGTGGGTCTCAATTTCTCACTGCTTTTGCTCTTACATGAGTTCTGCATTCTGCAGGCTGGACCTCTTCTACACACGATGCAGGAGGAGAGGATGCTATTATAGTCAGAGTGTCACAATTCAACCTGGTCCTATATGATATCAGACTTAGGTAGACAGGATTTAAATGAACAGTTGTTATTTTGCATCAAGGACTGTCATGTCACTTCTATCTCAGATAAATTTCCACTTAGGCTAATGTGAAAAAACTGTAGTTATTGAAGCAAATCTGTTCCTTCAAACTTTGTGGCATCTTTAACTCTGATATGATCTACCTCTGTGCATGTTATTAGCTCACCAGTATCTGTGAGATAGAAAAAGGAAGTCCCTAGGGAAAAGTGACTAACTTGCAGTGTAAAATTTATTTTTAGGTTGGCCTTGGACAATTGCACTTGCATGGAGGAAGAGGGGTAGAGCAAAACCATCAGGTACCTTTTCTGTATATCTTTGGTGCATATGACACTTGGCAGAGAGTGAGAAAGCATAACTGAGACAACAGTAAAGCAAAAGTGTATAATATATATACCACTGTAAGGTATATATATATATATATATATATATATATATATATAAAAAAGACTATTTCAATAGTCTTGTTCAATAAAACTTAATTTTTATGTACCTAGTAGATGGAACTGATTTTCTTACATAATTAGTTTAAGACTAATCACCTTAGAAATGAGAAAGTTAAAGGCAAAATTTGTGTTTTCATCAGGTAATACTGGAAACAGGCTGAGCTTTTGTACATGTGGTAGATTGAATCTTCATGATGCACTGGGCATGCATTAGTGATGATAGTCTAGTTTATGTGGCTTTTCTTCTGTAGATGAAACCATGCAGCTTTCAATGCTCAAAATATTAAGTATGCATAAAAAATAAAATTTGTGCTGACATAAACCAACCTAGCTATTGCTTATAGAAGTTAAAATAGCTAACCTCTTGAGTATATGTTGAAAAATGGAGAGCTGAGGATATGCAGTTCTGGGGATTATTTCATCCAATACAGTAATTACTTAACAGAAACAATTTAATGGTCATCACATTTAAAATACCTGAAAATGACTGCTTCAAAAGAGTTCAGAGATGAAAGCAAGTGGTCAAAATGAGTAAAAAGAAATTCTGCATAAATGAGGAATGGGAACTGGGAAATCTCTCCTATTCTAAACATAGCTTGGAGGTACAATAAGAAAGATTTACCTATGTAGCTTGTGCATAGTCACAGTTGTACTTCGTTGGGGTTTTTTTTCTGCTACTTTTTGGAATACGCTATTAAAAAGGATTACTGCTCAATATTCCAATTGTATGAGTGGGGAACCCTGTTACATTTATTAAATTAGGGGGAATTGGTAACTTTACTCCCCAGAAGAACTTGGTAAGTTGACAAAGAGCCTACCTGCCTCCACTCCATTTGTGAGAAACAATTCTCAAATCATCATCATGGTGGCTAAAATACTTCTCTTCTCTACAGCGAGCATTTGAGTACTTCAATCAAGCAGCTAATGCTGGCAATTCACATGCTATGGCTTTTCTAGGGAAGGTAAGATATATAAACATTCTCAAAAGTAAGAAAACTGACTGCCTTTCAATGACAAAAAGCAAATACTTCCCACTTTCTGATATCAGGCAGTCTAAAACTTGAATGCTGGAATCTAAGTATTTCCGTTTTGCAACTGTTTTGAGTTTTCCTGCAAGACTTGAGTGTTATAGCAGACTACATGTCTAGTCTAAGTTTTCCTTCACTTCAGGAACTTCTGTTTTTTTCTGAATAGTGCTTGAACTAGAGTGGTTTTTAAAAATCAAATAATTAAGTACCTATATTTCCTTTTCCTGGGGAGGACTGTGCCTCTGAAAAGGCTCCTGTTCTGTTCCAAACAGTATGTGGGGAAATGCTAGGATTCTCAAAATTTAAGTTGATGAAGAAAAGGGGAAGGACATTGTTACACTGTGGAGAGAACTGAGGCATCTAAGTCAGAATTGCCAATAAGTCTGCACTTACTCTGACTAAAGCCTGAATCATTCTGCAGGGTGAGCCATTCTTTCAGACTTAAGGGCTTTTTGTCTGAGGGCAAATCATGCCTGACCAGTCAGGTGTTCTTCTATGATGCAATGACAACAATGATCGGCAAGGGAAGAATGACTGCCTACACTTTTGTAAGACCTTTGACATGATCCCACACAACATCCTTATTGGAAGAGACATGGATTTGAAGGGTGGAATATTTAGTGGGTAAGGAATTGACTGGATGGGTGCAGTCAGAGGTTTGTTTGCAGATGACACCAAGCTGAGCTGTGCAGTTGACACAACAGAAGGATGGAATGCTATCCAGAGGGACCTGGACAAACTGGAAAAGTGGGCCAGTGAGAATCCCATGAAGTTCAACAAGTTCAAGTGCAAGGTGCTGCACCTGTGTCAGGGCAATCCCAGATGTGAGCACAGACTGGGAGAAGTCATTGAGAGCAGCCCTGCAGAGAAGGACTTGGGGGTTCTCGTGGGTGAAAAGCTAGACACGAGCCAGCAGTGTGCACTTGCAGCCCAGAAGGCTAACAGCATCCTGGGCTGCATCAAAAGCAGCGTGGCAGCAAGTCAAGGGAGGCACTGGAAAGACGTAGACCCGTTGGAAGTAAGTCCAGAGGAGGATCATCAAGATGATCAGTGGGATGGAGTACCTCTCCTGTGAAGACAGACTGAAAGAGCTGGGCTTGTTCAGCCTGGAGAAGAGAAGACTCCAGGGAGATCTCAGCGCAGTCTTCCAATGCCTGAAGGGGGCTTATAAAAAAGAGGGAGAGTGACATTTTGAAAGACAGATCGTGATAAGACAAGGGGGATGATTTTAAACTAAGTGAGGACAGGTTTACATTAGATATTAGGCAGTTCTTTATTCAAGAAATGCGGAGGCACTGGAATGGGTTGCCCAGAGAAGTTGTGTGTTTCCCATCCCTGGAAGTGTTCAAGGCCAGGTTGAATGGGGCCCTGAGCAATCTGGTCTAGTGGCTAACATCCCATGGCATGGGAGATGGAACTAGATAATCTTTAACCCAAGCCATTCTATGATTTGTAATCTAAAACATGATTGGCTAGCTGCCTGTGGTGATGATAATGTGTTACTGCTTAGAGAAGTATTTAGGTCACTGGTCTGAGATCTGGGTTGCAGACTACCTTCAGCCTGTGAGGGGCTAAATCCTTATTACTTCATTTGAATACCCTCTAAGGTTAGGCTGCAATAAGCACCAGCTCTAGCTCATCTTTTTCAGGCTGTCCCTGCAGTAGAGAATGCAAAATTCATGTCCTTAGAGCCTGAAAAAAATAGCATAATGTGCTGTTCAAGGCACCTGATAGAGGAAAGTGCAGTTCCTACTTTCTCTACTGCTTGAGTGTTTTGTGTCTAATAAAATGCACTGTTTAGTAACCAATTTTTACTTCATTTTCACAAAGTATTTTGACTGCCAATATCGTTTGACTTCCACTGGTCTCAAGATTTTTGCCTGATTGTGTTCTTCACTGCAGAATAGTAGAAATTGGAAATGAGGGGTATTGCCATGAAAATTTTAATTTTATGGGCAGTTCATTCTCCATTAGAAAGTTAAACTTTCCAAATCTAAATTTTACAGCAGAGATGAATTTTCTTCTTCTGCCTAAGTTCTTTAATGATTATTCAGTAGTGCAGTAGTTAGAATAGTGTAAGTACAATAGATGCCCTCTCATGTGCCAGGTGAGGATGCATCATGATCTTCATGCTAAATTGATTTCTTCAGCTGTTCTTCAATAATGCCTTTCTTTTTCAGATGTACTCAGAAGGAAGTGATGTTGTACCTCAGAGCAATGAAACAGCTCTTCAGTATTTCAAGAAAGCTGCTGATATGGTACGATTATCTGTAAGATAGAAATACAGCATGCACACTAAGAAGCTGATTAGCTTCAAAATGCTGTAAATGCTTCTTTATGTGCCCTTCCATGTGCGCACGCCTACTCCCAGATTAGCCCATAATTAGACCTTGCTTGTCTAAGATGTCAAAAACCGCCTCCAGTTCTGGCCACAGGGCTTCATGAAGCTGTGTTTACCATAAGGAGTGTAACTCCCATGAATAAAGTCTAACTCTATTACATCAGTATGAAATATTGTCACCTAAATAGTCTGAAATTCTTGGAAGTTTTAGTTTCTGTTACTCTGAAGTTGTCACAGAAATTTACAGTGCACTGATATGATGGTTTTTTGCTTATTTTTTTATAAATAGATAATATTTATTAATATGCTATTTGTTACTATAATTACACATTACTTAATTATAATTAAGTCTATTATATATTTAATTCTAACTATTAATGATTATTATTATTAATGTTTATTGATATTAAATGTTTAGCACATAAAACACAGTATATTAAGTTTTGAAGGGACTGCTGCAAGATAACTGCCTTCGTGGTTCTTACATTTCACAATTAGAATGTTGTTCCACATTTCTGTCCTAAACTGAGGATCTCTCACTGTGTTTATTTTCTGCATTCACTGAAGGTTTCTGATGCGCTCCGTTGCCTGTCTTGACTCTGAAGGAATGCCATGGTGCATTCTTTTGCAGGGGCAGTGGCTAATAATGCAGCCCACAGGACAGCCAACAATCTGCCCTTAAGGCAGATTCTTGGAGTTCCTGGAGTTGTTTTGGGAGCTTCCATAGCATCCAAAACCTTTCAAACTTGGAAAAACTAAACATGACTAAGTTATTAATGGCCCATCTCTCTATGAGTTCTGCATCTTGTATGATACTGTAACAAAGTGCACAGTAGACTTTGATAAGTAGTACTGAATTTTTTTCCCTGTTAATCATCTGTAGTTATTGAATAAAGGTTACCATAGATGCTGTTTCCTTCCAAAATAACTATTACTAGGAGCAAAAATACAAAACAAGTCTATCTTGAGCACTTAGATGTTTTAGTGATGTTTAAAACACACCAGATTTGAAAGATGTCAGCTGTAGGTTTTTTACCTTTCTTTGCAGAAATGCTTTTTTTTGTGTTTTCAGGGTAATCCAGTTGGACAGAGTGGATTAGGAATGGCTTACCTCTACGGAAGAGGTGTTCCAGTGGTAAGCTTTTGACACTCACCTTTCTAATCATAGGTGATTGTGTGACTTTTTGTTGTCAACAAACTTTTTCTCTAGAGGGAAATGCTGTAGAAGGCTTAATTCTGAAGATTTCTGTTACACTGAAAACTCCTTGAGGAAGTCTGTAATATTAAAAAAAAATGCACTATGGAGTTAGCAGCTAAGACACACATGAAGTTCCCTCTCATAAGTTTGAAAATGTTGCTTAAGTTATTAGGAATGCATAGCAGTGTACATTTTGGCAGGAGATTTGAACTTGTCTCTAATTTTCTTGTGAAATAAATCCTATCTGTCCCCATTTTGTGTCTCATGTGGGAGTGGAGGAACACTTTGAAACTTTTAATTAGTTCATTTGATTTATTGCATTTCCCATAAGGTTTCTTGTCAAATGTTTTATATTTAGCCATGCAAACAGATAGTCAAAAGTTGAATTAGCCCAAAGTTGAGGAAATAAATTAAATAATTGTTCTAGAAACAGAACAGAGCTTCTGTTCTGTGAAGCGTAACTATTCATAGCAATGCTGTATGTGGATGCCAGCTTTGAGATAGCTACAGACTTAAGACATGCTGATATCATTGTAGCCTATTTCATTATTTGTTTCCAAATTTCGACCAGATGAATATTTTCGCTAGAACATCATGCTGTAATTTTTCTGTAATATAGATCAGTCCCTCCACATGTGCACATGCTTATTT